AGGTCGGATGCGGGAGTCTGGGTAGGACTGCTAAGGGTTCATGGCGATTTGGCCTCGCAGATGCAGGGGGCGGGCGCGGGGGCAATGGCTCTCAAAGCTGCCCCTCATCCAAGTAGCCTGGGCTGGACTTCCACCAAGCCTCCCATCCCTCGTTCCCGGTGGCGAAGGGGCTCTCGGGCACTTCCCTGGTCGTGTTTCTGTAGTAGTAAACGGCCTCCGTTCCCCTTTGTAAGTCGCGGAGAAAGGGTGCAGGGGGGATGGGGGATGGGACCCTGGTGTGAAACCTTTGCCCGGGCCTGGCACCGCTATCCTCCTTTTAGTAGGATGAGCTCTTCCCCTCTGGCACTCTAGGTCGGGGTCGGGTAGCCCCTACTCGCTTCCCTCACATGAAGGCCCCAAAGCCGGGCCCACTGGCCAGCAGGCCCCTTCTACCCTGCAGCTCTAAGCTAGCCCCACCCCTGCTCAGCCCCCGCCCCGCCCTGCCCTTGCAGATGGCTAGAGCCCAGCTCCTGGCCCCGAGTGGGGCAAACAAGGCTGAGGACTCGTTCAGTGTCACTTTTCCTTCTTCATTTGTCTTGGAGGCTGACACAGGAGAAACCCCAAAGGCCTGAGTGCACCCTCACAGTTTCACCACAAGTATCCTGACCAGGCATCTGGTGCCGAGCTGATAGTGCAGGCCCCGGCCGCAGCCCCGCCGGAAACCCGCCCTGCCAGCGGTTGAGGGCCACAGGCCCAGACAGGAAACGCCCCCAGCCGTACCTCACGGCCCATGGGCTCCGTGTAGGTCTGCTGCCTTGGACCAGGCCTGGTGCCATTTTGAAGCTGGCCTGACTTTGGGACCCTGGTCTGGTGCTGGCCCTGGTCTGGGTCCTGGCAGCTTGGGACCTGCCACTTGCCCCGACAGGTTGGGAGATAACGGAGAGAGAAGGCAGAACCTCTAAACTGGGGGAGACCTGACCCCTACTTCTCTGCCATAACCAAGTCCCCTTGGTGCTTCCAACCCAGCTGTGGCCAGATCGGTTGCCACATAAATGTTTATCTACTGTGACAGGTGCAGAACTGAGTGCAGGGAGCCAAGACGTGAACAGAACGATGGTGGTGTCTGGTGTTAAAGAAAGGGACTATCTAAGAAGAGTAATTGCAGAGTATGGGAGATTTCCATGTACGATGTAATCAGGAGGGAAGAGCCCAAATTCTAGCCTCACATTTTGATTTGTGTTCAGAAAATGGGATCCAGAAAGACTTAAGGTGGGGAAGAAAGGAGCCAGTTTAAATGCAGATGAACTTGTTTAATGGGGAGGGGGAGGAGGTGGATGACAGGAATAATGGAGCCAGTAAGTAGAAGAGACCCGGAGGAGCAGGATTGGGTGGGGTCAGAGGTTCCGTCGGGGGAGAGTGGCTGTGTCTTCCATTAGCCCTAAGTTTTGCCTCCTGAGCAGCCTTCTCTACCACCCAGGTGCGTTGAGGGTCCTGTTGCACCATTTGGCATCGGGCTTTGAAGTCTAATGAGTTGTTTGCATCCATAACTGGAAGCTTGTTTTTAGCATAGTTAAAAAAAGGAAGGTGCTTACATCAGTGCCTGTAACTCATTTAACAAATATCTGTACTATGCATCAAACTCTGCTTCTGGCATGGTGATGCAGAAAGTAGGACACAGTCTTGTGTGGCTTGCGAGAAAGGCAAACGAGAATATTTGTCAGTGCTATGGAGAACATGCCGTGGTGGGTGGATCTAGTCTGGGGGGTCAGGGAGAAGGGATCCTGAGAA